CTGTCACAGTCTTGCAGAATTGTTCTCCAGAACTTTCTTCAATTCTCTCTAAACTATTTAACAAGTGTTTGACTGAGTCTTGTTTTCCTGCTTGTTGGCATCTGTGGTTCCAATATTCAAAAACTCTGGAGAAAATTTTGACCCCTCCAATTATCGTCCGATCAGTCTTCTTTCTGTTATTAGCAAGGTCTTTGAGTCTTTGATCAACAAATTCCTCACATCTCATCTTGAGTCAAATAAACAACTGTCAGACAATCAATACGGTTTTCGATTCTCTCGCTCTACGGCCGACTTGCCAACTGCTGTAACTAAAAGATTTTATCGTGCATTAGATGGAGGCGGTGAGGCTAGCGCTATTGCTCTTGACATATTCTAAAGCTTTTGACAAAGTTTGGCATTGAAGAAAAAAAAAAGTGTTTCCCAGAAATACCATAAGCTTGCTTTATATGGTGTTTCTGGGAAAGTTTTAGAGATTATCAAAACATTTCTTTCTAACCGGTTTATTAAAGTCATCCTTGAAGGCCAACACTCTTCTTTATTTCCAGTAACTTCTGGGGTTCCTCAAGGTTCCATCCTGGGCCCTGTTTTGTTTCTTATCTACATAAACAATCTTTCTGACAACCTTTCATCTAAAGTAGCTCTTTTTGCTGATGACTCAACTTTATACTCCTGTCTTGACAAAAAGTCTCTTTACGATCGCCAAAAACAAGCAGCTGATCTTGAATCCGATCTCACTTCATTAATAGATTGGGGTTCACAGTGGCTTTTGAATTTCAACTCTAACAAAACCCAGTTGTTTACTGCAAACAACTACCGTAATATGGTCAACATTCCTATATTAATGAATGGCAATACTTTTACTGAGTCCTCCTCTTTACGTCTTCTTGGATTATCGCTTACTACTGACCTTTCATGGAAACCATATATGCTAAATTAGCTTCTGCTAAAGTTGCTTCTCTTTATCGTACTCGCCATTTCCACTCGTTTTACTCGTCATTCAGCTAAGTCTCATTCGTTTACTGTATCTGTCCCTGCATGCTCTAAAAACTTTTATTCATCTAGTTTTTTTCCCCGCACTTTAATCCTTTGGAACTCTCTCCCATCTTCATGTTTTCCTAACTCATACAACCTTCAAAATTTTGAGTCTTCTGTCAACCGTTTCCTTGCTCTATAACTCTGTTCTTTTTTTTCCTAGTCTCTCCCAACTTAATAGTGGTTGCTTGCAGCCTTGTTGGGAGTGAATGCATAACATATCATCACAAATGTGTAAACATGATATTTATTTTTTGCAGGTGATTTAAATATAGATACTTTACATTACGAAATGTTTTCCAGCACTAAATCTTTTTTTGATTCATTACTTGAATTTAATATAATTCCTACTATTTTTAAACCAACAAGAATTACGCAAAAAACTTCTTTTGCCATTGACAATATTTTAACAAACAACTTATATAATTCTGATTTTGAATCTGGTATTTTAACTGCTGATTTTTCTGATCATTTCCCCATTTTTCACATTGCACGTGATATTCTATCTAATAGTGATAATAAAAAATGTTTTGTCACTAAAAGAAACCTTACTAAAAAAAATCTCAATAATTTAAAAAATAAACTATTTGAGGAGTCCTGGAAAAATGTATACTCAGCTAAGGATCAAAATCAGGCATTTAATAACTTTATGGCTACTTTTAAATGTATTTTTGATACTGTCTGTCCAATAATAACATTTGAAGTAAACAATAAAGAGTTAAAAAATCCATAGATGACGAGTAATTTTATAAAATCGTCTAATCGAAAGCAAAAACTTTATATAGAATTTTTAAAATCAAAGGATGAAGGTGATGAAAAAACATACAAAGCCTAAACATAAACAGTTTTTTCAAAAAAATATTAGACAAACTTAAAAAAAATATGGTCGATTATAAACGAAGTAACTTGCATAGAAAGAAAGAAATTCTTTAGCATACCTCAAAAAGTATTTTGTGATAATAAATACATTACAAATAAATTAGATATTTACTATGAACTTAACAAACACTTTGTAAATCTTGGTGTCAATCTAGCTTCAAAAATAGTGATGCCAAATAAGAAGTTTGATGAATTTATTGGAGAAAAACTCCTATCGTATATATCAAATGAAAAATATCCTATAAAGGATTTAGCAAAGTTTTGACTGAAATAAGTCATGCGGATATGATGACATTACTAGCAATGTAGCAATACACGTCATTAAATGTATTAGAAAACCCTTATTTCATCTAATATCGTCTTCTTTTGAACACAGTACTTTTCCTGAAATGTTAAAAATTGCTAAAGTCAATCCTGTTTATAAAAATGGAGATTGTAATAATATGTCTTACTACCGCTCCTAGCAGTGTTCTCTAAAGTTTATGAAAAAGTAATCGACAATTAAATTTATAGTTACTTGAAGTTAAACAAACTTTAATATGAAAATCAATTTGGTTTTCAAAAAAGTTGCTCAACAGAACATGCTATCATTGAACTTACTAATAAAATATTTCAATTTTTTGATAAAAGGGATCATGTACTGGGAATGTTTACAGACCTTTCAAAAGCATTTAATACAGTTGACCGCAAAATTAAAACATCAAAATTAAAACCAAATTAGTTATGGTATCAAAGGACTAAATGGGTAAAAATCTGAGTAACAGAAAGCAGTTTGTAATTAACAAAGAGTCGAGTGTTCTTGATATTGAGTGTGGGGTCTCTCAAGGCTCAATCCTAGAACCGTTATTGTTTTTAATTTACATCAATGACATGTATAAAGCATCATCAATAGAATCTTCAATAATGTATGCTGATGACACAACTTTATTTTATAATCATAATAATTTAAAATTGATGTTCGAAACAATGAATACTGAACTGGAAAACTTTAATTTATGGGCTAGAGCAAATAAACTATCTTTAAACTGTGAAAAAACTAACTATATATTTTTTAATAATATAGGTCAATCAATGTCTCTACCGTTAAAAATTCCAGAGTCGCTCATTAACAACATAACAATAAAGCGGGAAAATATGGAAAGTTTCTTGGTGTTCAAATTGATGAAAATTTATCATGGAGAAATCATATTGAACACATTGAATAAAAAATATCTTCTGCAATAGGTATTTTATATAAATGTCGCCCGTTTCTTGATTTCTGTTCAAGAAAAAAAACTTTACTTTAGCCTAATTCACAGTCATCTCACATATGCTAATATAGTGTGGGCTAATACACACAAAACAAGTTAGGAGGTTGTTTAAAAGCTAATACCGGATGAATATTAGAAAAAACATTTTTGACTCTTTCGTTCTGAGATACTTTGAGTAAAATGTTAGTTTCTGTTATTAAAGGTTAACAATTGAGATTACTATACAATGTTGTCACTAAAGAAAATGTTTCTTTAGACTTCTTTTGTGACGCTGGTCCTTGTAGTTTTGCGTTATGGAATGCTTTATCTATAATTACATCAGGATATTCACAATCTTTCAACCATGACTTTAGTTCAGCTAGACGAAGTTATTCAATTTCGTAATTAGATGTAAAAACAATTATTCTTTTAGCTAAATTATAAGAAATTTTCTTTTTAATGTGTAATGGATGATGGCTGTTATAGTTAAATTAGTCATGAGTGTTCGTTTCTTTATAATAAATGTCTGTTTGAATTTTTTTATAGTTTTCAAGAGTAATTGCAATGTCTAAACAGTTAATTACATTGTAGGTGTTAGCATTTTTAGAAAACTCTTTGCGAAAATCGGTTGTAAAACTAATTGATTCATTTAATTCAGTTAGAGAAATTTTAAAATTTACACCTGAATTCATAATTGAGTCAGCATCTTCTATTTTAAATAACAATAATTTTATATTCGATAAACAATTATTTCACCAAACAACTGGTACAGCCATGGGTACAGATTTCGAGCCAGATTATGCTTGTCTTACTATTGGGTTTCTAGAAGAGACTAAGCTTTTTTCAGTAATTTTACCTCAGTATTTTTCAAACCGTGAAGTAGATGATATAAAAAAATTTTATTTTAGATATATTGATGATGGTTTTATAATCTGGCCAAAACATCTTGATATCATAAATCAAAACATCTTGATATCATAAATAGTGCTTAAAGTTTATTTAATCAATTATATAAAAATACTTTGTATTAGTGTATTTTTTTGGAAAAATAAAAAAAAAATTTTTAGTAATAAATATTTTGAGAAAAAAAGATTTACTTTTGTTTACTGGCTTGACTATCTTTTGCTTTATATATATATATATATATATATATATATATATATATATATATATATATATATATATATATATATATATATATATATATATATATATATATATATATATATATATATATATATATATATATTAAGGTATAGAAAAAATAAATATATATAATAGTTATTATACCAGGATTTATATTAAAGTTCGCATCAATATTAATGTATCAATATTATATTAATGTATTTTTTATCAATCTGATGCGTAATAAATGTGTATATATATATTTTTTTTATCACGATAATAAATGTATATTTTATATGGCATGCCTGGAGAAGAAAAAAATAAAAAAATAAAAGATATAAACTTGTAAATTATTTACATTTTAATTTTGAGTGTATATTTTAAATAATTGGTCACGAAGTGAAAACAACTTATCTTTAGCGATAACTTGTAAGATGAGAAGACAGAATTAAAAATAAAGCTAAAAAATAACTATACAATATTTCAGTTTATTTAATACTTAGTCAAAATATACAATTCCACTTTTATGACGTAAAATAAAAAAGAAAATTTGAGTCACTGTTTACAAGCAAAAACGTGAAATCACGCACAATTTAGCATGCAACAAAACCTCTGACGCGCTGAATAAAATCAGTTGTTTTCTATTTACCATTTAATTTCAAAAATCGCTGTCCTTTGTTTATACTTAACTTTTAAAGTGTCAACAACTATAAAAATCTTTTGTTTCGACTTCGGAAGTTTTGTTCATTCTTTTTCCCTACGGACAAAGTTAATAAAGCGGCGTTTGCAAAGAAAAAAAAGGTAAAGCATTTATAGAAAAAAAACAAAGAATACGGTGTTTTTGAAATTTTCCTTAATTTAATAACGAAGTTTTTGTAAGTTTTAACTTTATATACTAATCTAATCAAAGTTTATGAAATATTTGTTAATAATTATTTAGATGTTGATTTTTAATTAGATTTTGATGAAACACGTGATACATATGGCATAGTATAAATATAAATAGGTCATGGCATAATATATGCAAAAAGAAATGGCATAGATATGAATATAAATAGATCTAAATATTCAAATAGTTTTTTTTTTCAGAAAAACACTAATTTAAGGATTCACTTGTTATGGCAGAAATATTTCACTATTAAGTGCATATATTTGCATGTTCATACTTTTTAGAGCAAATTTTAGCATAAAAGAATATTTGTCAAAAAATTATAAAAATGTTACAAAAAATCAAGGTTTAGCGAAAACTTAATTTTTCTCTAAAAGTTTATTTCTAATAGTTGCAGAATGGGGTGTTCCAAAAATGCAACTTTTTAACAGAATCAATATATTCAAAACATATTTTAGTATAGCACCTTAAGATAAATGTCTTGATACATATTTTAGTATTTTACTTATCACCTTAAGATAAATGTCAGGTGTGTAGATTTTCATTTTTATCAAAAATGTCTGGTTTTTAAATGGAAAAACAAAATCTGAAAAAAATAGCTGTTTCAATTTCAAAATATTTTTATTTTATTTAAAATATTTTTTTTTTTTATTTGTTTGTACACGCTTCTTCTATTCTATTTAACAACAGCTGTTATCTGACTGACATATCTAAGAACAGCTGTTATAACATCCATATCGAAAGTCTCTGACTTTTGATATGTATGTTATAACATGTGGCGCAAAATCTTTGAAAAACTTGAAGCTGGAATGATTGTCTACAAATTTGCCATTAAGAATTCAAGACAGTTTATCTTGCATGCATTGATTGAGTATGAAAATCTGGTACCATTAAGGATTTTTCTTTGTTAGTTATGTCTAAATCTTCATTTAGTACAATAATAACATTCTTAGCCTAATAATATCTGTCTAAGAAGAGGATTTTAAACACTTATCTAATATTTTATTTTTCTATGTTTTTGCCTATTTCAATAGCGTTTAGATTTTTAGATGGTGCCTGTTTTATGATAGATAACAGTAACCAAGGAATGTAAAATATTGCTATTTAAAGTGCAATATTGTTGACATCTTCTCTATTGTCATCAACTCCAGTTTCTTCAAGTTGTTAAAGTATCAATAAATATTTCCCATTTTTCAGCTTCATGACAAATTATTATATTATTGTATTAGCTTCATGACAAATTATATTATTATAATAAAAAATTATTTAAAAATTTATATTTTTTATTATAATTTATTTATGTATATTTGAGTTAAACTATATTTATAAAAATATATAAATATAAGTATTGAATATGTTTAATTTATATAAGTTATTTAAAATGTGTATATTTAAAATATT